TTAGCCTTGTTATTAACAACACTAGTCTTACGACTTTCACAACTAATACTGCTGCAAGTACTTAAGCTGCCTCAACTGCTGTTGATGTGGCTGCATTTAATCAAGTTGTAATGATGGTGTCTAGACATATAATTAAACTCATCGTGCCAAAGAACAAGCCAAGGAGACTCAATGTGGCTACAATGGACAGCTAGCAGGTTTCTAGGAGAAATGAATGCAGCTGTAAATACTATAACAATATGGGCCTTAGTAATGAGAAGAAGGGAATAAGACCAAGTAACATATCAAGTCTTTTATTTTTTTTTTTTTTTTTTTACATATATCTTGATAATATAATACAAAAGACTGTTGAGAAGTTCTCGGCTTGGCCAAGAAGACCTTGCCAAACACATTTTGATGTTTCGTCAGATTTTGTAAATTGAGCCAGGCTGAGAACTTTTCAGTACCCTCTCATGAAAAAAAAAAAAAAAACTGACAAATTAACCTTGACATTTAATTTTGCCGATATCTGTGCAAACAGTTTTGTAAGATATGACTTCTGTTGATGGTAGTGACAAATCTACTTTGGCCAGTTAATAAAAGGTGCCATATAAGGTAATGCATAACTAACTGAAAAGGTTTAATGTGGGTTTCTTGCTAATGGAAAATATTTTTCATGAGACCAAATTATTATTGCTAATGACACTTGTGATATTTGCATCAAGAAACTGTTATTACATTTTACTTCCAAAAGTTTAAAAGAGAGTGTTGTTAATTATTCATTAGCTAGTAAATTCAATTTGACTTCAGAAATTTGGTCACTGCTCACTAAATGGTTTTGGCAACCTTTGCAGGGAGAAAAATGTTTAGTGATGCAAAAGAATTAAAAAATGTCAAATTAATAAAAGGAGAACATTGATATAGAAAAAAATATATATTTCAGATGAATAATGAAGGAACCAGTACACATATCAAAGTGCTCCAGTATTAACTTTTACCAAAGGTTGTCTAGAGATAGTTCTTTCTTTTCATTATGTAAGAATCATTTGGCAAATAATAACAGCTAGCCTCACCACTACCAGCCTTAAATGTCCAGAAGGTCAAATGGATATGAATTTTCAAACATTACAGATATGTAGTGTGTAAATAAGAACATGCTACTCAGCAACAAAATATTTTAAATCAGCTATTAGAGAAGAGGAAGGTAGAAAAATCAAGATTGTTCATTATGTGAAACTTTTTCATAGATTGACTGTTTAAAATAGGATTGTGAAAGTTTTTCATTTCTTTGTCTCTTTTGGACAAATCAAAAGTGAAAGATTTTCATAATGAGTCTAGCCAAATTCATTTTTAGCTACAAACCTAATTCGGTTTAAACAGTGTGTCAAGTAAGAAATATGAAATTCTGTTAAGTTATTTTTTTCAGTAATTTTGCAAAAAGATTTGAAGCTTATACTTTTTCACAATATTCCATTTTTAATTTGGAAGTTTTTAGTTTTTCCCTCCTGAAACTTTTTGAAGTTTTCCATTCTTTGAAGCTTTTCAACAGCTCTTCCTTAAGAATTAATTTGTGGAAAAGCTAAATATTTGCTCTTTAACATGAAATATATTTTTAAGAAACATCATTTAGTGATGTGATTTAGAAAATTGGCTTTGAAATTTGGCATTTAATTTCTTTTATTTATTTATAAACACTGTGTATTGAGATATTATAAACATAATAAAAGTGCTCTTTAAACCTTGCATTTACTATTTGTTGTAGCATACCTACAGATGATAATGGCTATGTCCCCATTCATATAAATACAGTACTAAATACTATATGTTGGTCTGCAGTTGGAAATTCATTGTGGAATTCACTTCTAGCAGTTGACTACTACTTCTACACACTGCTGGCAAATCTTATATGTTGTTCTTGTCTTAAGTATTATTGTCAATTACCAACTTTCGTGTGATTATTCTATTCAGTAACCATCCCTAGGTTACAACACTATTGTTTACTCTTATGGATTTATATAAGTGAAAAGAGAATCTTTGTCAAAAAAAATGTAATCTACTTCAGTACAAAAATTGATTTCCTTTTGGAATTATAAAAATGAAGATAAAATCAAGAAAGACCCAAAAGAATTATTGTTCATTTAGTGTTCACACTTGAATCATGATTTTTGACAAAATTGGATTTAATTTAAAGAATGATTTTAAAAGACTTTAGTATTAATTCTTGTGTTTTTCTTCAACAGTTCATTATTTCCAAACAGATATCATCACAATATACATTTTTCTATTCAGGTCAGCATACTCATCTTGTTTTGTTATATTTGCAATGTTTTAGTTGTTGTGTTTGTCTTACTAGGTAATGTTTTCGGAGTTTGGAAACAAACTCTTTATTCAATCCATGGGGGAGATAGTTATGCTTAGGGGAGATAACTCATATAATTTGATACTCTCCTGTCTATTTGCTCTTGTGTGTTCCTTGTCTGTTTCTTCTACTGAACTAGACTATATGATTTTTGCATTAACTAACCCAGAGATTAAATTCACAACTGCCAAGAAATCATATATGTTTTAACCAATGCTTTAATCTACTTGGTGATCTGTCTCTTAGATAATTTAGTGGTATCATTTTGGAACCTTAAACCCAATCTATATGCTCAGGTGGTTGAAAGTTTGAGTATAGATGTTACACTAGTGGATTGTTGAAGAGAGAAACATATGGACTAGTGGCTTAAAACATATTTAGTTCTCTGGCAGTTATAAATTCAATAAATGACACAAAACCAGAAAGACTGGAGAGTATTAACCTAAACATGGAAAGTGGGATGAAACAGTCTAACCCTATGGATTGAATGTGAGGGTGGCTCAAAATTCCAAGAACGTTATCAAGTTTGACAGACACCTGAAGAAGGCCAGAGAGTAGAATGGCTGAAACTTTGTGAGTATAACGACCAACAAGTGCATGCTGGTCTAAAAGTATTAACTGTAAATGACACCAGGTAGACTAAAACCTTTCTTGTAACACATTTTTCGTGCAAACTTTAATAACAAAACAGCCTAATTTATATTTTCTCTTCACCTTCTTCCTGAGCACTAAGAATCTTTCTCTAGAAACTGACTTCAAATTAAAAAGGCTCTTCTTTGCTTGTGCACTTGTCTATTTCTTTCTCTTCACATCTATTAGGAAAGAAAGAAAAAAAAATGTTTTTTTTTTCCTAATGTTCTTTTCAGCTCAAAGTTAAATGCACATTCATAAGTAATACTTGTTATGGAAGTGTTAATTGGATCTCCAATAAGAAGTGTTCTTTGGAATGGGCCTTTAAATATTTTTGTTCCCATTTGCAGATTGATGTTGGCGATAAGTATAGGAATTATATTATGATTTCAAATTGTCACATTACACAGCAGCTAACGAAATATTGCAAGCTAAAATAAAACATATAATACTGAGAGTGTAGAATTTTAAGGAGTTATGTTTAACTGCTACTGAAAGAGGAGCCAAGAAGTAGTGTGAAGAGATCTCCAGCTAATATGCAATCAAAAAAGAGGACTTGTCTCCAGCCGGCAGTATATTGCTAGAGTCAATAAAGATGTGTTTGAAAAATATCAGCTATTCTAGAAGCTGTATATTTTGTTTGTCTCCATGGAAAGAAAAAAACAAAAAACAAAATGGAAGAAATGTTTTGAAGAACAAATCAAATAATGATCTGTGCAATGACAGTGGAACAGAATGAAATTGTTTGCAGGAGTTGCAGCAGAATCAATTACAAGATGTTTTTTGTCTTGCTTTATATTATTGAGAACAATTCTTCTGTCAACATAATATTCAAATGCAAGTTCATGTCCAGTCTATATGATGATTTACTAAGAATAGCTTAGATGTGACACAAGGCCAAAACTATGGGGCACCCAGTGAGGAATGAAATCACTACTCAGTTGTAATTGATCTTGTGCATCAACCTTGCTGACCATTACACCATACTGAAATGCTGAAAATGATTTTCTAAGCATAGCTTAGATGTGGTACAAGGCTGAAAGTGTGGAGCACCCAGTGATTCTCAAACTCACTACTCAGTAGTAATTGATCTTGCAAGACAAGCTTGCTAACCATTACATGACATCAAATTGTCCAATAAATGGTGATTTTTATAAGCATATTTTAGGTGTGGCACAAGGCTGAAATTATGGGGCACCCAGTGAGGATGGAGCTGACTACTTAGTAGTAATTGATCCTGCAAGACATGCTTACTATTACGCCATGTCAAAGTGCCCTATGGCCAGTCTATATGTATTAAATAACTTACATACAATCTAGATAAGTGAACTCGATCAAGACTTTATCATCTTATTTGATTATGCTTTCATCTTCATATATCCAAGCTTTATATTCATAAATAAAAGCATTTTTCTTATATTACAAAATGTGAAATTTAGTATCTGAGAAGAAATAAAGTTCATAGAATGCTGACTCAAGATTATCAATTTATTCTTAAGTTACAAATTAATATCTTTTAGCCAATGTATCCCAGAAGATAAACTGAAAATATAACTATTGGTATATAAAATAAATAAACATATATTTTTTCTGTTGATTGAGTTAAATTAAAAAAAAAATGGTCATCATTTTTATTCAGATTATAGAATTTGAAAATTGAATCCCAAGATAAGTGAACTTCTTCAGTTAAAATTCATAGTAACTAAAATAAATAAATTTTCCTTTCTTAATGTAAACTTACACAAATTCTATCAAAATTTGAAGAGCACAAATAATTCTTTCATATGACATCAAGAAAGAACCATTTGTAGCATCTTTCTTTAGCTTCAATTTTTTCTAATGTTCCTATTGTTAATCAAATATTGATCACTTTTAATTTTTTGCTCTGAATAATGACACAGGCCCAACTTTTATTTTTTTGTTCTAATTCTTCTTGCAAAATTTTGTAGATTTTGTGATAATTTCAAATATATCTTAACTCAGCAGCCTTCTCACATGATATTTTCATCACTTGCATTCTCTCTCTTTGCAGCCGGGCATGCAGCAATATCCGACCGTTTCCATGCCAGTCAGTGTCCCAATTCACAACCCTGGCTATATGGTCCAATCCCCCATTTCATCCCTGGCTCAAAATGCCTCCATCAGTAGTACTACAGGCCTGCTTCAGCCCCATGCAGTCGGCACCAATGTCAGTCCAAGACCAAATTCCACAGGTTTGCCTCTATCATTTGCTTTTCTTCTTTTCAAGTACTGTATATAATCTTTTTTTTTAACAAGTACTTCTGAGATGCTAAAACCTCCGTGCATATTTCAATAGAACAATTTTGTTTCTATAAGTGAATTTGCATTCAATCAAGATTTTTTATTGTTATATAACCTTTAACATTTATAGTTATATTATTTCTACAATTTGCACACAATTTTAAATAGAAGTCTATTCTGAATTCTGTTTATTACAAAATATGCACTTTAGTCATTCTTTTTTTTAAATATGACATGGTATGATAACATAGGAAACAAAAACATTTAAACCAGGCTTCTCATTTCTTGTAAAGTTTTAAAAAATGTATAAATCCCTGGACCAGTGAAAATAGATAAACTTTATTTGTATCTTGGAATTACATTAAAATATAATTCCAATCAGCAAAACCTAATAATTGTTTTTGTATAACATATTCTATGACATGTAACATTTTAAACTGAATTGACTAGCATTTTGTTCTTTGATATAGCATTGAATATTTCTAGAAACATATTAAGAACATTTGCTAGTTAAGATACTTTCAAAAACCAATTGGATTTAAATCTTTTTCTTGATTTGTGATGTCTCAACTTGTTGAAATTCTGAGTTTACATTTTTTCCAGATACTTTTAGGAAAGGTGACTCTGAAGGTTCACTTGTTATATTCTAGTGAAATTAGTAAAAAAAATTCACTAATGAATTTTGTGTTCATCTTAATGTAGACTAGATAAAAGAAATGCTTCACCAAAATGTCCTCTGCTAATTTCTGTATGGATGCATAATTTGTACCACTCTTTTATTAGTTTAGCCACTAATTTTATATTTGTTAGCAGCTTTATGATTTTGAAATTTATTCAAAATCTAAAAGTTACAAAATCTTTTTACTAATGATAAAATTTTAAGTTTCTGAAAACCCACACCAAAAATTGGATATGTTAATTTTCTTGAAAACCATAAATTTGGGAGATTTCTTTACCATTTATGTTAGAAAAGTTTAAAAGAAAAAAGTGATTGTCAAAAATTCCCCTCCACTTTCCATTTAAAAATAAAAGCAAGTAAAGAAAATAAGACAGCCTTGTAAACCACCAATTATATACAACCAATATTGCTCTTCTTGGTTGTCTAGTGAGACTCATTGCAACTCCTTTCCAGTAATCAGACATTGCATACCTGTATAATTGACTCCATTGGAAGTGTTTGGCTAAAAATACTTCCCCAAAGGTCCATGTAGCAATTAGTTTGGCTGTTAGCAAATCTGTCTACTGTTGCTGGGTCTTGTCCACTGAGCATCTGTGTAATGTGGTACTTATACCAAAACTACAGGATTGATTTAATTCATAACAGAATACTCATCAAATTCCAGCTGTTTTCTATTCTGAACATACAGAAAATGTTTTTGGCTATTTGAGAAAAAATGAAATATGCACGTTTTTCCCATTAAAAAATATTTTAACCATTTCCATATAAAGTGTTTCACCACTGACACTTATATTATCTTATAAATCATCTAACAAGAGGAAAGAAATAATTTTCTTTTGTGAATTGTCACTTCTCCTAAATTTCAAATTCAATTGATGTTGCATTTTATAAATCAAATAATCCATTAATTGAACAAGTCATTTTTTTTCTATTTAAATGATACTTGGATTTATTTTTAAAGTTGAAAACCTTATGGAGACATTGTGTTATTTTCCAGCCTTTCTAAATCTGTCTGGCTATTTTTGTGAAAAATCATAGGCCAATTCAAAAACCAGGAAGAACCAAAGACCAACACATCAATATTGAGAAATATAGTCAAATTAATAGAAGTATCAATAATGTATCTTGTCAGATTTGACTACATGTTTTGTATCTAAAATTTTACAAGTCTGAATACTGCAGCTCTACTGAAATAAGTTTATTATTGGTCACTTGAAGATTGAACTAAAAAGTTTGTTTCATAAATAACCATGCTTTATTTTTGTTGTTTTTAATGAATAAAACTAGAAAGTTTTACCACTGCATTGATTTTTCTTTTGCAGGAGGAATGGTTGATCTCAGTACTTCAGCTGCCAACAACTACCAGCAGAGATCTTCTCCAAGCACATCTCCTGGAATAATGTCAAACAAGGCAATGGCCAAACAGTCTCCTAATTCTCAGCAGAGACAACACAACCTGAGGGTCATGATACCTAATTGTCGAGGTGACATGAATTCAGAGGTAAGTTCACCAATAAAGTGAAACATTTTCATTTTTCCCATTTTTTTATGATGACCACAAACTGCACAGCAAAGATGAATCCTTACCTAATACAAGTTTCATGAATTCAAATTTTCATTCACTTTCTTAGGAGAATTCTATCATTTAAAATGTCATTCATTTTGTTTTCTAAAACTTAATCAAAAAAAAAAAAAAAAAACGTAAAGAAAAGTTATTTCTACCCCCCACCTAAAAACACCTAATGACTGTGTGATTCTCTTTTCTAAAAAAGTTAATCCCTTTTTACTTATACCCACAACTTTTCTTGTTTTTAAGTAGGAAAAGTGCCCCACAGAAGTTTTCTTCCTCCATCTGTTGTTTAATGCTACACTGCCAGGTCTTTTGAACAATATCTTTTAGCTTATTTTCTTTTTGGCTTTTTGTTCTTGCATGTCCAGTCCCAGCCGAGGAATTCCAATGCTCTGGCAACCCCGATTGTATCAATGGCTACTCCGGGGATGTCGAGCTCTAGTTATCCGTCCGCTCTTCCAAGTTCTTTCCCACCAAGTAAGTTCCAAAGAAATTTCCTCAAATTTCCTATTTTCTTTGTTTACAATATTTTTTGTCAGAAAATATTTTTGGAGATATTACATTATCCAATGAATATAAAAAGGGTTTTCATAACAAAACCATTTCTCTATTTTGTTAAGATAACCACAGCCAGATGTATGTCGATCGACCTCAAGGATCTCCTGAATGTAAGTAGCTCTTTTCATTGTTACCTGGTTTCAAATTTTTCCCCTTTCAATATATTGTTTATATGCTGAATTGCTCTTTGCCATTTTACATATTTCTCCTCAAACAAAGGCATGCTAAGTTAGGTCAGAATTTTGACAATGAATATGCAAAACATTCATTGATTATGCTGATGACTAACCTGCATAGTTTCTCAGTAAAGAAAACATATTATGTCAAAAAGATAAATAGAATTTGAATAAATTGCTCAATATTACATCAGCTGTTCTTTTTATATGTTGTGTTGCATAAAATAATTAACTTTTTATTTATAGAAGTTTGATGAGTAGAAATGTTCTCACATTCTAAGTAGGTTTTGCTAGCTTAAGATTTTTTTTTTTTTTTTTTTCAAATGAATCAGAATGAAACCTGTCTTATTAAGATTGGATTTAAATCAAAGAATACAGAATTTTTATTTGCTAAAACTATATATGATAAAGATCCTGCAAATGTTGTCAGCTATTGAAACAAGAGTTGATATATAGAAACATCTTTTTTGACTTCACCTTCAATATTACTTTGTTGGTGGGGAACAATGAGAGAAAAGAAAATAAGGTTGAACATTGTAGTATCATATGCAAATTAGATAGACAAGTATAAATAGAGAACAACTGGTGAACATAGGGGACAGTTATGCCTAGCAAACCCAGTTGCTATTCAGGACACAGAGAACTGTACTACAACTACTATTATGCAGAGAGATATGCAAAACATAGCAGACATATTAACAGATTATATTGGAAAGAAACCATTATTCAAGGTCTTTGATTTTTATCTGAGATCTGTTATAATCCCATTTCTTTTAAGTGGTTTATGGATTTGACAAACAGTTCAAGTAGTTATACCTTTACTTGATAAGCCAACATTTACAGAAAATAGAAGTAATCAACATTGATGTTTCTGAAAAATAAAATTGTTTTGCTGCAAACATCACCTAAATGTATCTTTCAGTCTTATATGAAAGTGAATGCTGCAACAGAAGGAACAGACCTTATGATTGATATATGTTTGGCTTGTTTTTCAGATGACTTTGCTTTAAATACTGCTGACCTCAGTAGTATTACCAACTACAACCATTGGGGAAGCCAAGGTGCACAAGCACCCCCAGGTTCCTTACAGAGTAACATGCAGATGTCTTCTGGGTAAGTTATTTATATTGATATTAAACACTTTTTTTTATATATTTCCTATTAATTATTAGCTTCTTGTGTTCAAGACAAGTTTAATGAATGATGTCATCTTCATAGCAAGCTGTTTGCTTGTTAGTCAATAAAGCTTTCTTTGTTGATCACTTGAGTTGAAAAACCATAATTCCTTCTTTAAATTTAAAAGTAATGAAATCAATTATTTGGGTTGAAAATGAGAAATAATGACCAAATAATGTTGACTGGTAATAAAATTAATGCTGGAATTAAATTAGAAAAGTATTTTGACATGAAATTCTGGATACTTGCATTTGTTTTTTACAAGCCACTCAACTGATCAATATTAAAAATGATGCTTGTTCATCTGCTGATGTTGTTGATGCCTTGTGTAATTGTGTTTTTCATTAAACAATAAAATGAATCCTTGTGAAAAGTGAACTTGGCATAACAGTGATAAAGGCATGCTGATAAGTTAGTAAATGTGTGTATTAGTATCTGTCTCTGGGTGTATGCAAATATATACATAGATACATCCAATTTTCCATAGATAATCACGAAGGATTGATCCAGATGTCTGGCGTGAGTTGGGAAAGGAAGGGAAGAGAGAGAGAGAGAGACCAGTGGCTGTGGGTCTTAATCTGGCAAACCTAACCGAGGTGAGAGGCTTATTTGAATGGATATTCTTAGCCTGGAGAGACAGTTCAGGCTGTAGGGGGTTGACCACTGCTTAAAGGTTTGCACGCTCAGGACAATCGACAGGCGTTAGTCTTGGTTATGTTAAAGATTTAGCAGGCAAATAGAGAACTGAAACAACTTTTCAGGAAATTTTCTAAGGAGGCTTACTTTGTGGTTAAAAGAATGAAGCCAATATGACTGTAAATACATACGGCTATAATTTACTTCATAAAAAGGTTAAAATTTATTAGAAAAACAAGATGACCATCATAACTTACTTTAGTCAAGATGGTTCAGTTTACATTCAGAATGAAAAAAACTAAATATTTCAGAAATAGTTATCATTGAGTAAACTGCATGTTCTCATAGAAACTGTAAAAATACATGGCAATTAAATAATAAACATGATTTGTATAAGCAATGTTGTGCAGTGTGTGTAATATCTTGTTAAATCTTCTAGGCTTTTTGTTTTATTTTTTGTAGACTTTGATGATTATTGTCCATTATGGACATCCAAGATATGAAAGCCAAAATTGCATGGAGATGATTAAAATTTGCCTTGAGGTCAGGGTTCACCATGTGTGTGCTCTGTTAATTAAGTTTGCCTGTCCAGTGGGTTGTTATCTGATTGGTCATGAATCTGTCTGAGTTGATGTGTCTCTGATCTCAGTCATTTGTTCATTCAATGCCACCAAGTCAGATCAATAATTACCATTGAATAGATTCAATCAGCAAACATGTTTGGGTCTAATCACAACTGGATGGTGATAAAAAATGTTTGGATTGCAGTTGATCAAAAAACAATAACAGAATTGATTAACATCAAACATCCAGCAAAGTAGACTCAATCACACTTTAATTCGATGAAATGCATATAAAGTTGTCTTGTTGCATATTTTTTTCACTTTTTCTGGAGAGACATTTGCTAAATAAATAAAGTTTTGCTTACAATTTTATTGGGTTTGTAATGAAGAAAAAGTAAACTTTAAAAACTGAAAGAGTGTCTTTATCTTTAATGCATGTTTACAGGTTGATTCACTTTTGAATATAAATTAGTTTTCTCACAACTATTATTCCTTCGTAAAAATCTGTAGACTTTTTCTACTACATTTGTAAATGTAAATTAAATTCTACACCTATGTGCATACACGCACACACATCCTGTGTTTTTGTGTGTGTGTGTATATATATATATATATATATATATATATATATATATATATATATATAAAAATATTGTGTATTTGGGCATCAATCCCTCTTTCATACATGTTTTATTAAATACAACTGACAAGATAATGTGGTTAAGTTTCTTATTTAATTTTTTTTGCTTTCATACAAGTGTTTTCTTTTCTGGATGCAAAGTGTGTAAAATCTTAACTATTTATGGGTTCAAATGCTCCTTAAGGAACTGTATTCCTGGTCAAACCAAACACATAAATAATTATATTGGTTATACTACTGCATGCCTATCTAGATAACTTATGTTACACCTACCCATCCATATCTCAATTAGGGCTCATTTAAGAAAGAATCTACCAAACTCCATTTGAAATATACTAGTCAAAAATACAAGTATAATAGCCTCATCTACATCTAAAAAAAGATTAAAAATAATAATAAAAAAGGAAAACCAACACTGAATAACATTAATATGAATACAGCCACAATGCGCTGACCATGTTTGCAAAATATAACATTCCTATAAGTTCAAACACATATGTAAATATCCACACATTCAGTTCAAAATTAAGAAATAAAAATCATCCTTGATAATGGCTAAAAGAATAGCTGAAAGCACTCAGATATGCAGAACTTATGGAAATTTTTTACGCACTTTGTGTCGAGAAAAGAAAACACTTGTACAAACACAAGAAAAATTAAATAAAAAGCTTAACTGTAGTACTTTATCAATTGTTCTTAATGAAATACACACACACACACACACACATATATATATATATATATATATATATATATATATATATATATATACATGCACACACACATGTAAGTCACATTTAGTGTGTGTTTAATTCTTTTTGGAAGTAAAGTACCTATTTGATATAAAGGGGGCGATAATAGAATCATTATGGCATTTATATTCTACCAAATTCTTACTAATAGTAGAAAGAGATACAGATTAAATAATTTTACAAGAAATCTTTAAATTTCAGCCCCAATAATCCTATTTCAAATTATAAAACTTTCATCTGCACTTAAACTGTTTGGCTGCGATCCTTTGAAAGTTAAATTTTACCTGTCAATCACATTTCAATTTGCTGACTGTTACTCAAGTATGTTTTGCTTTCTCTTTCAGTTCAGGAGGTATGCCAAACTCCAACTCCGCCTTGGCACTTAACATTCTAAATCCTGGTTTAACTATGAATATCAAGAGTGAACCAATCTCTCCACCTCGAGAGACGAACACCCCCTCAAGTCAGCAGCTGCGACCCCCATCTGTTGGCAACCAGAGCCACTTGTCCCCCGGCCACATATCACATAGCAACAGTTCATCGCCCAGCAGCACCAATGACTATGAACAGGGCCCAACTGGCTCAAAAAGATCTCGAATAGAGGGCTGGGCTACATAGCTGCTATCAGTCTGTTGTTCACTCACTGGTTTGTTTGTTTTTTAAGTGGGACACGGGAATGTCAGGACTACTGATGGTGCCTTTGATGCAAGTGTAGAGTGTCTGGTCACTGCTGCCAACCGTTCCAGATGTCAAAAAAACATCCGTATTTAATAATGAATGCAGGAATATTTGGGGTTTTGTTTTCAAGACTTGTATTCCAGTGCTAGGCCAATTGCACAGTTGTACTTTGTTCTTGTTGCCTTTTGCTACCTGCCTCTATCACTCAGAGACAGTCATCACAGTGTCTCGCAAATGTGCACCTTTGCTGGGTCACAGAGCTTTTTAAAACAATGTCAAAACAATACAAAAATCTCAAACTGGGAAAGAATCCCCCTTCCAACAGAGGGAAACACAAGTTCTGAAAACTTTCCTTGCATTCCTGTTTCAGCAGTTTCTTTTTTTATTTATTCATTTAAAAACAAAAAAAAAAAACAAAAAAAAAAACAGCAAAATATTTTATCATTCTGATTATTCTTGTTTGGAGAAACATTTTTCTTTAGTTTTTTTTTTTTTTTTTTTTTTTAAAAACAAACTTTAGCCTCAACAGATTTGTTCTCCCTTCTCCCCCTGATGTTACTATTTATGCTGATAAATCAAAGTCCCAAAATCAACATTATTTGAAAAATATGCCCCCTGCTGACACTGCAAACAAAAATGCTATAAATGATTGAGACAAGGAATGGCCAAGCAATTTCTTATGAAAACTATTCTTACTGTTTTTATCCCCCCCTTCATTATTTCTGTAAAGCTGAGAAAAGCATACCCTCACCACCACACTAAAAAAAAAAAAAAAAAAAAAAAAAGAAAACAAAAACTTAGTTCTCCGGAGTCAAAAGAAAGTGCATGTAAAGTGAATTAAATTAAAGAATGAGTGCATTAACACAAGAAAGAAAGAAAGAAAGAAAGAAACTGTAAGTGAGCTTCCTTTTCCTTCAACTGCTGTTGTTGGCCACATGGATGAGGATGGGGTCAGGAACTGAGTTAGGGATTATTTTTTTTTCTGTCAACAAGGAAATATTTTCTTGTCGCATATATATTGCAAGAAAAACAAAACACCAATTCCTGCGGGTCACTCTGTAAATGATCGAGGTATCAGACATTATTATTATTATTATTATAATTATTATTATTTCTGTAAAACAAAAAAGTGAATATAGAAAGACATTTTTGCCATTTTTATTTGAAAAAAGTGTTAGTGAGAACCTAATGTGATGAAAAACTGAAATTTTTCTGAGTTAGGATGAGAAGACGACACTTAGCCATGTCATCTTCTTTATCTTCATTATGGACAAATGATGAGAAAATTATTCAAAACAATTTTTTTAAGGAAGAACAAAACTGAATGAAAAACAAAAAAAGAAATTATTAAAACAAAAACAAAAAACAACAAAAAAAATCAAAAAATCAAAAATGAAAAAAAAAAAAAAATGTAGAAAAACTGAGAGGAAATCTCTCCTAAACCCCACCCCCACTGTCTTTGTCTGGGATGTTTGCATGGGTGTGACGTCTTGCTGTGCATTAGGCACATATCATGGTAGAGAGACCCAAAGCTGGGAGCTGCAAATCCTTTTAAGGCACACGAGATCTGTCCGGTAAAACTTGGAAAAGAACAACCAATTTAAAAAAAAAAAAAAAAAAATTGAATACAACCATCTACAGCAACAGAAGCAGAATTTTTGATTTTTTTTCTCACTTTTTTTTTTTTTTGTTGTTGTTGTCTCTTTTTAGCTAAGCAAGGGACACTCGTTGCCATGGGCTTATTCACCTGACATTTTCATCCTCTTTGGTGTTAGGGTGTTGAATTGTCGCATTTATTAATGGCCAAACTCCTTGCCATAAGTAATGCACTTTTTTTGTCTTTCTTTCTTTTCTGTGTTTCTTCTGATATTAAATTTTTTTTAACTAATTTTTAAACTATTATTTTGATTCTGGTTTTAAAAATATTCCTTTTCATTATTTAATAATGCTATTATTTCTTATAATGATCCTCTTTTTTTTTTTTTTTTCCATTCTTTCATAATTATTTAATTGGTTGTAGTTGACTTGAAAAAAAAAAAAAAAACAGAGTTTTTATTTTGTTGTATTTAAAATTTTTTATTGCAAAACAAATTGTTACATTTATTTTAATGTCTTTTAAACTATTCTCACATGACCACGACCGCCACCATCACCACTCTCGTCTCCCTCAACCAAAAACCACTGTGACTAGAGCAAGTAGTTGTCCAAGGGATGTGTGTTCATTTTGTAATATTCTTCACTGCATTGATCACTAATGGAAGGAAGTAAGAATTGGTCGTGTCTAGTGATGCTTTCACCACAGTAAAATATTTAGAAAAAAAAAAGAAAAAGAGAGACACGGGCTGAATGAGGAAGTCTCATTGTGAGCATTAACTCTTCAACTGATGAAGAACTTGGCACATTTTTTTCTACAAGTTTACCGAAGCACTGGTGGAAAAAAAATTTGATGAATAAAAACTAGTCAGAGATATATATATATATATATATATATATATATAAAACTCCTTTGTAAAAATGAATCCCTAAAGAAATTTAACTTAAAACTGAAACAAACACGAATCGAAAAGGATACACTAGATGAACCGTAACCTTTGAGAATCAAACATGTTTATGGCAGGACCATTCAGTACTCACAAATAAATATCTTCATTTTATTTTTTCATGACTAAGTTAGGACAGTGCTGGAAATTTTAAAATTCTTATTGTAGAATTGATTCTAAATTTTTAAGAATATTTCTTGACATGGAATGTTTTTTCTATTCATTTTATTCCTTGCAGAGATTCTTTTCTCTAAATTTTGATTTATTTAAATTTCCCAAATAAAATTGGTGAAACAGAATCTGATGAGAAACATCAAGTACTAATACCAACTCTCCATTTTTTTCTTAAGCATTTAAACATGAAAAGCTTTTCTTAATTAAAGAAAGGACTATATGCAAATGGAAAAATTTCTAATCCCTTTTAAACTCTTAAAAATAGAGGAAAGTAATATTTCTTTCCAGATAAAACATTTTTGGATTTATCATTGTTTAGTTTCTTTTTGCTTCATATCTCTTTTCATTTTCTACAATCCAAACTTGAAACTGACAGTTTTATTTTGTTCTGTTCTAAACAGATGCAGTTGTATGCAAACTGCAGCCAAAACATTGACTTGCCACTTCCCTATTTGTATGGAGAAAGTGCCTCATGATGTTGGTCTTTCAGTGTTGAACAAATTTAATAAGACAAGAACCTCTGCAAGCTTTACAAACCCTTTCATTTTTGTTCCTTCTTCAATTAAAAACTGACCCATTACTTGCCAAGCTAATAATTATTTTTTCTAAATAAATCATGCCTTATGCCTATCTTGACCAAAACTGACAATACACAATGAAATTTAGGTATAAATTAGACATACAGCCAACCTTACAAAACTGCACTGATGGATTTCATTTTTTTTAAATCCACCAGATGTATTTATTTCATTTTAACTTTGAATATTTGAAGATTTCTAATTTTAGACAATTTAATAACAAATGTTAAAAGGTGATCGCACACAATTTTTCATTGTAAATTTGGAAACATCATGAGTACAATGTACACATTGATTCACAAAATACTGTCTGTGATGAGGAATGTTGATATGGAGGCTTCCTTTCCAAAATCAATTGTCAAAATCTGTCTCTAAAATAATTTTTGGAGGGGGAAAAAATCTGGTAGCAGTGGATGCTATTGTCCTTTTTTTTTCTCTTTCACGGAAAAAAAAAACAAACTTTTTGACAGATGTATTTCACAGCTGCTGTGCAGTACCTGAGATATATCAACTTTTTCTTTCAACAACAATTAAAAAAAAATAAAAAATAAAAAAATAAAGACAACCAATCAAAACTCCCAGAAAAAGAAAAAAAAAAAAAAAAAAAAAAATTTAAAGAAAACACTTACCAGTATCCAATTTTTCTTGTTTCAATGTATTTACCGGTTTGAATAGTTTGTTTTGGCGCTTTGAGGGTTAACTCTGATCTAGTGTTGATCATTCCACTAAAACTTCAAATAAAAAAAACTGTTCATGACTGCTTGTTTGAATGACTTGTACATTGTTTGCTAACAGAGCTCGGTCAGTCTGGCCACTGCCTCTCAGTAGTCACAATCCTAGACAAACGTTGCTCATGTGTTTTTTTGTATCGATTGTGTTGTATTATTATTATTATTATTATTATTATTATCATCACATGGTCTTTATGAAATTGTGCCCTTCTTGTATGCAAATCTTACAGTGGGGGGGACCTGTGGAATTCAACAGACACTGTGAACATTTTCCAACTCCTTGGAATCTGCTGTAAATACCATCTGGATAATTGCCACCATCATAATGATGTTTGTGTGAATCATTCAGGAAAGCATGTGGGTCTATTTTCATTTTCTTGACTATGGACTCAATTTTGACAAACTTCATTTAGTTCCAGGTTTTAGAATTTTTTTTTTTTTCTTTTTTTCTGAAAAAGGAAAAATAAAAATGAAATATCAAGGCAGTTCAAATGTAGCAATAAATTCATTCAACTATTTGAAAATAATTTACTATGATATACTTTTATACCTACATTTGAAATACACAGATGTACACACACATGCACATGGCAAAATTTATTACCTAGAAGCTAGAACCATTGTCATCAAAACTTTTTTAAAATTTATCAATTTCATTGTTTTTCTTTAATATTTCGTTTCCAGCAAAATATTTGAAAAGATTTTTATAGTAATTATATTTTTTTTTTTTTTTTTTTCAGCCAAGTTAGTCTTACCAACTTTTGGGTAAGTGAGGCTTTAATTACAGAAGCCAAAAGTTACAAAGAAAAATACTAAACTGAACAGTTGTGTACAGTCTACATTGTAAATGGAATATAGCGATTTGTCTTGAGGGATTTAATGAAAAGGCTTATAATAATAATAATAATAAAAGCTCT